GTTAGAAGTCTGTTTTAATTTTACTTAATTCATTTAACAAACATGCATTAAATGCTTCTCAAATACCAGGCTTCGTTCTAGACATTGGAGAAACGTTAGTGAACAAAACAGACAAAAGCCCCTGATATTTGTGGGTCTGGGGTGCAAGAATCTAAATGGAAGCCCCTGACCTATCCCTGCACCCTTCAACCCTCGTTCTGTTCCATACTCTTAGGGACACTCCCTCAAGAGGTGTACATATCACTCTCCATTGCCCATGCCATGAACAGTCAGCCCACGAGCCTAGAGGAAGAGACTAGTGCCAACCCAGTGCCTAGGACAGTTTGTGCAGAGAATTCTGGGCCCCAGGTACTTGCATAGGATCTAAAAGCAAGGAAAAATCTATTGACTACAGCAAAAACACATTTAGGGCAGTGAAACAAGGAAGGGCATAGAAGAAGCAACAGGAGAGCCTAGACTGGGCTGCTTTGGCTCACTGGGAAGTCAGAGAAAAGGGGGCCTTGGAGACAGGTTTGGGGGTGAGCTCTGGATGAGTTGCTGCTGCCCATTGCTTCCCTGCTTGCAAGTGTCGGGGGCCCTTGGAGTTTAGGAGATAGATGTCTTTGGGAGAAGGAGAGAGGAAGGGGATGGAGGGGCGTGATCCCTGGAGGCAGAGCTCTGAGAGTGTGTTTCTTTGGATATGTTTTGGTTTTAAATAGGATGGTCAGTTGGGGTCTCTTTGAGAAGCATAGACTTTAAGGGAGTCAGCAGCATTTTTCATTAGAATGAAGATGAGATTTTTGTATTAGACTGAAATAGAAATTCAATTAGGAATTGAATTTGTTTTGGTTGAAGTAATGAGTACCTACTAAGTGTCAAGTGTACTAGACATTTTATATCCTTCATCCTAATGAATCCTTGCTCAACTCTAGAAAGCATCATTTTCCAGACTCGACAGCTAGGAAGTAACAGAGCAAAGGTTTGTATTCAGGGGTAAGACTTCAGAGTTTATGCTATTCCTAAAGGGTAAATAAAGGCAGAGTAATTATAATGAGGACTCATACAAAGATAATGCTACTACTTAGGTCAAAATATTATCTTTCTGCTATTTAGCAAAGTAAATGAAATTTCACTGAAGAATAAATGGATCATATGATATATTTATAAATTCATACGCCACAAGGGTAGCAAATCTATTCTTTTAAAAATGTGATCATATAAGAACAAAAAGATAAATTCAGAGTATTTATTTTTAGTTACATATTTAAGAGGTTGGTTAGGAATAATTTCCTTTTCCAAACTTGATCTATTTATCGGGATAACGGCTTAGAACTTTCCTTTTCTTTGTAATATTCTGAGAGTGCCTGCAACTTTTCAATATTTTGACTCGTTTTAACTGGAGTCAGGCTTTCCTATGTGAAGTACTATTTTCCCCAAACTGGGAACCTACTAATAATTTCAATTTAAAAAGAGCTTGTGGCAAAAGGACTTTTCTTATTCTTGGCAAGTTTGAAGTTCATTGCAATTTTACTGTGGATAGAAAGCTTTCCAAAGGGGGGAAATCACTCTACAAAGGAAAACTTCCAATCCTTGTCTCTCATGTGACTGGAACATAAAATGATTTTAACAGCCATGTATGAGTCTGGACATTATTCTTAGTTGTTTAGGACTTCAAAAGCACTTTCAAGAGGGAATTGTTTTTGCTTATTTGTGATTCCAAATCAGATACACAGAGAGATTTGGAAGATTGGCAACAGGAAGTAATCTCAGTTCTATGTAGCCACTAATCTTGTGCACAAAAATTCAACTTTTATGAACAAAGGAAAAGCATTCTCTTTTAAGTTATAAATACAAGCCAATGTAGCTTGTATTGTTTTAATAACTAAAGTGAAGACGCTGATTGTAAGCTCATTTTTTGAGCTGCATTCCAAGAATCATTTTAGAGTTGGCCTAATTCAACGAACTTCTCACTCTACTGTCTTCATATATGTTATTACATTAATAACTGCATTGTATCAACATAGATCTAAAGTTTATGTAGCCCTTTCATGTATTTAACCATTTAATCCTGGCCATTTTGTGAGATAAATTTTATTCCCACTTATATGTGGGTAAGTGAGAAGTTTAGAGGTTTACTGAACATCATCTAGTTAATTAGTGATAGAGCCAGTGTTAGAAGCCAGGTGTTTTGACAGCAAATCTGGTGCCTTTCCCTTCACATCATTGCTTTGTGTGCGGATTTCTTAGCTGGACATTACATTGTTGGCTCCAATCAAGTTCGTGATAAATTAAAATCTCTAGATCTTTTTCATATGTTGTTTTTAAGTTAGGCTCTCCTCATCCTGTACATCTGTAATTGATATTTTGAACTTAAATACAGGAATTTGTTTATCCTCATTCATTTTCATCTTATTATTTTCTACTTAAGGTTCTAGCCATCTGAGATATTTTCAATCTTGATTTTGTTATCCAACTTATTTATTATTCTTTCCAGCTGTGTGTCAGCAGCAACTTTTATAAGTAAGATGGCTTCTATAATCAGAAGCCATCCTAATACTCTCTTTAATACACTACGTGCCTATCACTAGTTGGAACTTAATAAGTAGTAATTAATAAAAAAAAGTTTTTTGTGTAGGGTAAGGAAAAGAAAACCTATATATAATCTTTTGTACCTAAGTATTTCAAGACTATCTTAGAACTGTTGTGGTCCTCTCTTATGTTTTGATATGTTTATAATATTTTTCATGGTAAAAACAAAACAGTTGTTAAATATTTTTCTTTCATATCTGAATCCAGTCTCAGGATTTTAAGAATCTATTGCCTTGTAACTCTAGTTTTCTGAAATTGCTCCTGATGTCACTAAGGTTTAAAATTTCCTGAGGAGAGGAAATCTAGTTATAATAAGGAGGGCTGTACCTCTTATTTTGTGACTGTATTTACATAGCAAAGAAAGGTTGTTTTTTTACTTAGATGCATGTTAAAAATTAATAAAAATAGCACAGTTTTCTAAAGAAATTTTTTTTTGTGCTAAACACGAGATTGAGAAAGCATTGATTGTACTAAGTAATATAGTTATTGTATTTTTACTTAGAGAATTTTATGGGTGGTGCTGACATTGTGGTGGGAGGCTAAAGTCCCCCTAAGCCGCCCATCACTATCTGGGTACTATGGGAGTGACCCTAGCCAGCCACTTAGCACTCGTTTGCCTTGATGCGCTTACCATACTCTGTAACTCTTTGTAAGCAATACATTTATAATTCTCTATAAGCAATGACTCTGGTGAAATGAAAGAAAATTATGTAAAACAATAATGTCAACAGTTACTACTGGTTTTACAGATGGGAATTTTTAGATAATGTTACTATAATAATGATCTGATGTAATATAAAGTTTATTTTATTAGCCAAATTCACTTAGTAGTTTTGTTAATTGCTTTAATTCTGTATTTATGGAATTAATAAAGTCCAGAAAAGGCTAGTTAAAATCTTCAGTTATATTTTTGGGCATCTCATGGTAGAAACTATATAACAGTAGTTGCATTTATGTGGATTCATGAAGCTATGGGATTGTAGTTTCATTATTGAGCCTACTCTAACTTTAAAAAAATAGTTTTGGTCTTTTGCATTTTTACATTTTAAAAAAAAATTTGTATATTTTTGCGCTCAAATGGAAGGTACATTTCAATGGTCTAATTCTTAATTAGATATAATTTTTAGTGATCTAGGAAGTGGAGGTTCTCATAGATACCATTAGTCAGAAAGATATAAATTTGTCATGCTGAGAAAACTTGATTTTAAGAAGCAACTGTACTGGGGACTATTCTGATTTCTTCTAATCTAAACCATAATCAGTGGATTTCACTGCCATTATCTTTGCAAATATCTCAGAGGGTTAATTCAGTGTTCTCTGAATATATAAGCATAATATAGAACTACTGAATATACAATATAAAGTTGTGCTGTTTTAGACTTTATGAACTGTGTCAATAAATTTCCAAAAGTAACCTTCTGCATAATGTGATTATGCTTTGAAGTGTTAAAGTTCTCTTTCTTGAATCATTTATTTGACATTTAATCTTTGTCTATTTCTGGAAAGGATTTGGGATGAATTTGGATTTGGAGAAGTCTCCTCATAATAACAGTGTCATTACACATTAGATGTAATTGTCAAAATTTGCTTTATCTGTATGAATTACTTTATTCTGCAATTAATTTCTATCCCTAAAACAGCCACTGGTTTTATGTTTGCAGAATACATTTCCAAAACTACTCCCTTGGCATCCTTTTCAGTGGTTAAGAATTAAATTTAGCTTTCTAATTTTCTCCTACTTACAATGTTTGAAGATAAATGTAAGAGTGTATTTTGAATATTCAACCATTAAATCATTTGGTCAGATTTTCCTAGAATGACATATTTGAATCATCTTTCTTATTTTCTTAAATATTCAAGTTTTTAATCAAGAAATAATGCCTCTCAGTCACCATTTTGTTTTCTTTCAGTTTATTTCTTTGTTAGATTTCTATTTTTGTTTCTTTCATCCTTTTTTCATTATATTTTTATCTGAGCATTTCTCCCTTTCTTAATTTCTTGAGTTACATATACTGGTGTTTGTTTTTCCTGAAAGAATTGTACTCTGTAATTCTTAGGATGAAGAACTTGTATTTATTTAGGATTATGTATATTATTATTAAATTTATCATAAAACTTTCTTTCCAAAGCAGCTCAGACACAGGAATATCTAATAAAGGCCTCTTAAGAGTCTGAAATTGATCTTTCTAAACTGTTACAAAGATATGAAATATATATATATACACATCTGGTATTACTAAAATGCTAGTTGTAACAATGAATGAATTTGTAAACTAAGAAACATCAGGGATTAAAAGTTCTCAATGAATAATGAAATTTCTATGTGAAATTTTTATGATATCTTGATTACTATAGAGTGTATTCCTACCTAGATGAAAGATAAATAAAAATAAGAATAAATTGTATATTTTCCTCTTTCTTCCCATTGCCAGATGAAGCAAACCTTAATTAGATCCCAGTTTTCTTGTACCTATAAAGATGACTGCCTGATAAGCAGGAATACATGGAATAATGTTGATTCAGCATCAAAGCCATTGAATGTTCTTCACATGGAAAATGACCTTTCTGGTAATTGACCTTATTTGAGCAATTAAATAGCAATTTAATTCCAGCATTGGGTTTTAACTTAAGTAAAACTAGATTTTCCCCTCACAAAGTATAAAATGTGAAATGTAAAAGTGTCTATTTTTAAAGACTTGGGCTTATTTAAAAAGTTAAATCTAAGTACAAATTTATAGACAGGAATAGGACACAGTTTGATTTAACTAAATGTATTTAAGAAATAACTCTTACATTTAAAGATTTAGTGTCATGCATTTAAACAAAGCAAATATTTGTAGGGATGAAAGTGATATGGTAAAAGGAAAAATAATTCTATTTAATAATAGACAAACATGGTAATTAACCGTACCTCTGACACGCTTCCCATTGGCTAATCAGGGCGATATGCAAATTAACTGCCAACAAAGATGGCAGCCGGCAGCCTGGCAGCTGAAGCGAACAGGAGGCTTGTTTGCTCCAGTGATGGAGGAAGCCAAGGTTCCCCACCTGCCGCTGCCGGCCTCTGAGCTGCACTCTAAGAAACAATGTTGCAATTATAGAAGCCAAACAAACCCCAGAAACCTGCTTTCAGCCAGCGTGGCCTCAGAGCTGGAGCTGCAGCAGTGTTTCAATTATAGAAGCCAAACAAATCCAGATACCTGCTTTCAGCAGCCAAGGTCTCAGAGCTGGAGCTGAGCCTCAGCTAAAGCCGGCTCTCAGTTCCAGTGACAGCCATAGAAGGTAAATAAATCCCAGAAAAAAAAAAAAAAGAAAGAAAAAAAGGAGAGGTTGGGAGCTTCAGTCACCCACCAGCCTGAAAACGGCCCTCAGCCCCTCACCCAGACTGGCCAGGCACCCCAATGGGGACCCCCACCCTGAAGGGGGTGTGACCAGCTGCAAACAGCCATCATCCCCTCATCCAGGCTGGCCAGGCACCCAAGTGGGACCCCCACCCTGATCCGGGACACCCTTCAGGGAAAACCAGCCAGCCCCCACCCATGCACCAGGCCTCTATCCTATATAGTAAAAGGGTAATATGCAAACTGACCCTAACAGCAGAAGGACTGGGAATGACTGGTCACTATGACACACACTGACCACCAGGGGGCAGATGCTCAATGCAAGAGCTGCCCTCTGGTGGTCAGGGCACTCTCACATGGGAGGAGCTCTGCTCAGCCACAAGCCAGGCTGATGGCTTCCAGTACAGCAGTGGTGGCGGGAGCCTCTCCTGCCTCCTCAGCAGCACTAAGGATGTCTGACTGCAGTTTAGGCCTGCTCTCCGCTGGCAAGTGGACATCCCCCGAGGGCTGCTGGGCTGCCAGAGGGATGTCTGATTGCCATCTTAGGCCCAATCCCCCGGGGAGCAGGCCTAAGCCAGCAGGTGGTCATCCCCCGAGGGGTCCCAGACTCCGAGAGGGCACAGGCCGGGCTGAGGTATGCCCCCCTCCCCCCGAGTGCACAAATTTTTGTGCACCGGGACTCTAGTCTAATCTAATAAAAGAGAAACATGTAAATTGACTCTACCTTTGCTACGCCCAAGCCATGCCCACCAGCCAGTCAGAGCAACTATATGCAAATTAACCCAACCAAGATGGTGGCCAGCTGCCACGGAGCTGGAACAAGCAGGAGGCTTGGTTGCCCCGGCGATGGAGGAAGCCAAGCTTCCTGCCTACCCTGGCCGTCTGTGGCCTCCGCTAAAGGCAACAAAGTTTCAATTATAGAAGATAAATAAATCCCAGATACCTGCTTCCAGCCAGCCTCCACTGGGAGCTTGGGTGGCTGGGGGCCGTGGCCAGCCTGCAAACAGCCATCAGCCCCTCACCCAGGCTGGCCATACCCTCAAGGGGTGAGGGTCCCTGCTGGGGACCTTGACCAGCCTGCAAACAGCCCTCAGCCCCTCGCCCAGGCTGGTCAGGCACCCCAGCAGGGGGACCCCCCCCCCACCCTGAAGGGGCTGTGGCCAGTCTGCAAACAGCCATCAGCCACTCACCCAGGCTGGCCGTGCACCCCAGCAGGACCCCCCCTCCCTTAAGGGGGTGTGGCCAACCTGAAAATGGCCCTCAGCCCCTCACCCAGGCTGGACAGGCACTCCAGCAGGGACCCCCACCCTGAAGGCGGTGTGGCCAGTCTGAAAACGGCCCTCAGACCCTCACCCAGGCTGGCCAGGCACCCCAGCAGGACCCCCACCCTGATCCGGGACACCCCTCAGGGCAAACCAGCCAGCCCCCACCCATGCACCAGGGTAATATGCAAATTGACCCTAACAGCAGAATGACTGGGAATGACTGGTCACTATGACATACACTGACCACCAGGGGGCAGACACTCAATGCAGGAACTGCCCCCTGGTGGTCAGTGTGCTCTCACAGGGGAGGAGCTCTGCTCAGCCACAAGCCAGGCTGACGGCTGCTAGCACAGCAGTGATGGCGGGAGCTTCTCCCACCTCAGCAGTACTAGGGATGTCTGACTGCAGCTTAGGCCTGGTCCCCACTGGCAAGTGGACATCCCCCGAGGGCTCCTGGGCTGCCAGAGGGATGTCTGACTGCCAGCTTAGGCCTGGTCCCCCGGGGAGCGGGTCTAAGCCAGCAGGTGGACATCCCTCGAGGGGTCCCAGACTGCTAGAGGGCACAGACTGGGCTGAGGGACCCCCCAAGTGCACAAAAATTTGTGCACTTGGGCCTCTAGTCTATAAAACTCTCATTTGTAATAATACTAAATATTATGTAATTCATTTCCTCTTTTCATCTTGCATAACAAAAGGTGTAAATTCATCTGTTGGAAGACCAGCAATTGGAACAAATCCTGGAAATGTTCATCTGGACAGAAGTAAAGATGAAAAAGTAGAAAGAAAATCCAGTAGTCTGACGGGAAATAAAAACTCAAAAAGGAAACAGGTGCATTTAGATGATGAAAACATTCTCTGTGATAATGGAAATGAACCACCCCAATATAAAAATGTTAAGATACCTAAGACATCAAATGATATGCAGAATAAATTGGAGGGCAAACTAGCCAGAATAGCAAAAAGAAACAAGTGTGCTGCCAAGGACAAATTGATTACTGGCCAGACAAAGTTAACTCAGTTTTTTAGACTATGAATTTGTCTTTTATGTACTTTAGATTCATGTATGTATAAAACCATTCACCAAAGGCATGTACTTAATTTTTAAGAGATCAAGGTGTAAATTATGATGCTTTATTGTTATTTTTAAAATTCTGTATTGTTTAAAGTATTACATATGCCTCCTTTTCCCCCCGTTGACCTCTCCCCAGATACTCCCACCCCCTAGCACATGCCCTCACCCTGCTAGTGTCTATGTCCATTGGTTATGCTTACATGCATGCATATAAGTCCTTTGGCTGATCTCTTACCCACTCCTCCCTCCCCTGCCTTCTCTCTGAGGTTTGACAGTTGGTCTGTTTGTGATGCTTTGTTGTTTTGGTCTAGAGCATATGTAAGATTAGTGTGTTAAGCATTGTTTAAAAAATACAACTAAGTCATAGTTATGCAGAATACTCACAAAGTTTAATGTACAAATAAAGCATATCATTTAGGTTAAGGATATCTCTTTATACTGCTTTCTTTTAAAACAGACATTTAAAATAATATAAGTCATAGTAACATTAAGAGCTTTTCCCCCCGACAGGCAATTAAATGATTTTGTTTTCTTCTGAAAAGATCATGTGGGCCAACAGGTATCAGACTTGCCAACACGGTCGATAGACTCTTCCCAGCATACACCTGATCACTGAAAGAAAAAAAAAGGGTTTAAATTGCTTAAAGGACTATTATTATACACAAAATTTATTAGAAATGAAAACAATGTATCTAATATAGCTAATTTGGAGTAAATCAAAATTATAACTAATTAAATGCTTTTTAGTTCCACATATTTGGCAGGGATCACTTAATAGAAAAAAGTGTGATTGAACTATGGTCTTATCTAATTTTGTTATGATTGGGTCCAAATTCAGTTAAACTCAGAATTCTATTTTATGGTACTAAGACTTAAATAATTGAATTTTAAAAGACTACTCACTGTCAAAATCTCTCCTTCCTATAGGAAATTTAGCTGAGTTTTCTTCATCCCCAGTTTCTCTCTTTTCTTGTGTTGATTCAATATTCTGAACTCCATTCTCAGCTGGAAAAGCTACAGATCCTTTTGGCGCAAGATCAGGTTTTATAGCCAGATTCAGTTGCAGACCATGATTCAAGAAATTATGTTTAGAGCCTGCGTTCTGTAAAAAAAAGATTGATTTGCATTTTTGCTGTCTTATTTGAAATGGTAATATAATATAGTTGCATGATATTCTTATTGATTAATTCAAAGATGACTGTTTTGACTTTTCAAAAATATCTTAGATATTTTTAAATGATGAGTTGTTGTCCAGGATGAAAGAACAACCTGGTATGTATGAAATTTCATCAGTTGCCCTAATGCATATTGTGGCTATTTGCATATACTTCTGTTTATAAAAGTATCAACTTTACTTTCTAAGCATCCGTAACAGTCATTCAAATAGTCGTTGAAATAAAGGACAAGTCAGATTGCCACTTACCCTTGAATTTTTGTTTTCCTCATCATCCATGAACCCGCTCTCATCATTTTTATATTGTGCCAGGGAAGGAGCAATGACTGATTTTTCTGCAGTATCTTCCTTCTGAAAGGCTTTCCCCAGCCTAAATGTGTTAAATACCATGTCATCTTCTAAATTTCTCATGGACTTGGATGCTGAAAGGAAAATGGCTTGAGAAAGCAGAGAAAAAGTTAGTATTAATGTGTAGGAGGAGAGACTCATTTTTGCCATTCTTAGTTCGATGTTTGCATGGAGTCAAAGATGTGTAAAATGGAGAAAATTTTCTCCACCTGCTTCGTGAATGATTCCTACCTTTATATATATTTCCAGCCTGAATGGAAAGCACTTCAAAGACAGACTTTCATCACTTCAGAAGTGATTCATCAGGTAGAGCTAACCTTTTGTTTAGCCGCTAATACCTACATTGTTTGGGTTTTAGTGGCATATTGTTTTGTTTTGAGTGGGAATTTTCTCAGAATCTGATTACGATCCTTGGTAGAATGCTCTCTGTTGAGCAGATTATGGTCTCTTGAAAATGGGTGGTAATTAAGGAAGACCACAGGACATCAGGCTCTCCATATTCTTAGTGTTTGCTTCTGTTTATTTTCTGGTTAAGCTATTAAAACCAAAGTTATTTCGCTTGATGATAAGGATAAAAGTTTTATTTACTTTTAATCCTGATTAAGTTGAAATAATCTTCAAAAAGGATTTTCTTTCATAAATGTTTGATATAGTAGTCTTTGATGATTAAAGTGTATATACCTCTCAGTATGAACAAAATCATTCATGCTATACCTAAAATTGACCTGTCAGGTGTGTTTTATCTCTGCATTTACAAAAGGATATTACTGATATTTACTAATGAATTTAGCAATTAAAGAATAAGCAGTTCATGAAGAGAATACTTATGTGTTCCTTAACTATTAATGTTGGATGATGAATGTATTGTATGATTTTTAATTAAACATTTCAGAGTTAATTTCTAATTTTGACCACAATGTGTTAGAGAATATATTCTTGTATATGTCTTCTGGCACATATGAGCAAGCGTTTTTCTAGGGGTTATTTCTAGGCATTAAATTGCCAGATCATGGAGTATGTGCATGTTCAGCTTTACTGATGCCAAGTGTTTACAGAAGAGTAGCAACCAATTTAAGCTTTCACCAGCAGGCTATGCGAGTTCGCATCACTCCACATCCTCGCCAATACTTGGGTATCTTATTCTCCTTTTAATTTGTATTTTCCTAATTACCAAAAAGGTTGAGTATTTTTTTGTATGTTTATGAACCATTTATCTTTTCTCTTACATAAAATAATTTTGGAAAAAAAATACTTGTCCATTTTCTGTTGAGTGCTTTGTCTTTTTCTTATTGATTCATGGGAGTTCTTTATGTAGATATCCTGGATATTAATTCTTTGTTAGATACATGTACTCTGAGATCATGAACATATTTTTATATAGTCTAAAAGTTTCAATGCTTTTACTTTCACATTTAAATTCTTAATTTATCTAGAATAATGTATATGACACGGGATATATAATTTTACTTTTTCTAAAAGTCCTTATACATTTCTTGAATAATTCATCCTGTTCCCACTAATCTGTAATGTCAGTTCTGCAGTACATCAAGCTTTTATGCATGAGTGGGTCTCTTTCAGAACTCTTTATTCCACTGCCAAATCTAGTCTTAATAATCAAAACTTTAAAATAGTTTTTGATATCTGGTAAGGCAAGTTTCTAAGCCCCCTAGTCACCCATCAGTTTTTCTTCTATAGCAGTTCTTTGGCTATTGTGCATTTCTTTTCTATACAAATCTTCATATCAGCTTTTTAAGTTCTGTGAGAAACCTTGATGGGATTATGAAGGGAATTGCATTGTTTCTGAAATTGATTTTAGAGGGGAATTAACACCCTTAAGATAATTTTCTTATCCATGAACGTGGTACTTTTCCATATTTATTTAGATCTTTATTAACCTTTTAATAAGATTTTTCTTGTTTTATTCGTAAAGGTTATATATCTTTTGAAATAATTCTAATTCTTTTTTTAGAATATATTTTATTGATTTCAGAGAGGAAGGGAAGGGGAGAGGGAGATAGAAACTTCAATGATGAGAGAGAATCATTGATCAGCTGCCTCCTGCACACCCCCTACAGGGAATTGAGCCCACAACCCAGGCCTGTGTCCTTGACTGGACTCGAATCTGCGACTCTTCAGTCCACAGGCCAACACTGTCTACTGAGTCAAACAGGCTAGGGTGAATTCTAATTCTTTATAATTTAATTATAATTAACTTTTTATTTTCAGTTATTATAAGTGGTATCTTGAAAAAGTTTACCCCTTTCTAACATAATTGCTGATTTGTACACATGTAATTGATTTTTGTGTAGTGCTCTTTTTTTTTATTAGTCTGTACAAGTTGGTTCTAATAAAATATTGACTACTTATTACAATCAATTACCAAGATTTTCATTGCAACAGTATTTTCCCACACACATCAAAATTTGTAAGCAATATGTCTTTCTCAAATTGTCATTTAGTGTTTTTTATCCCAACCCTCAAAACACAGACATAGGTTTTTGAATATCAATAAGCCATTTATGGAAGTCATAAGATACAGCTATTAATAAACATTACACAGGCTACAATGGACAAACACCACTAACATTTATGGTAAAAGGTCTTGGTTTAAAAGTCTAAGTACTAACATGAGCCAGATAAACACACTATTTGTGTCTTTCCAAAACCAAAATGGGGAAAACCTTATTGCCATTATGCCAAACACCACATAACTAAAAAGGCTGCATTAAGGGTCGTGAATCCAATGTACATGTCATAGAATTAAAACTCCAGTTAAGCACCTGAACTACTCATTGAAGTAAATTAAAAAGTAAGATCAAGCTTCTTTAACGTATCAATTTTAGAAGCATCATCAGAACACAGATTTAATTATAAATTGGCCTGGGCTGTATCCTATAAAAAGAATTTCGTTTAGTACCAAAAGAGAATCTATCAGCAAACATCCTAGGAAAGCTGTGGAATCATGTTCTTTGTTATTCTTGAAGAAACTCACCAGGTTGGATATCTGTAATCTCCCAGGGGTTCTAGGAGCTCTACATACCAATTAATTAATTAAGAAATTGATAGTATTTAAGCAAAAAGAAGACCAAAAGTAGACCTTATTCTCCCATATATTAGATAAGTGGATTTTTAAAAATCACATGATAAATGTAAATCATAAAACCAAGTGTACTTGTATTGTAAAGGTACACCAATTTTATGTTATGTAAAAAACTAGACTGCAAACTGCATGCTTACCATAACATTTTACCTGGGAAAGCCTATGAGAGATTTCTTGTAAATATTTATGCCATGATACAAAACAAATAACGTGCGAACTGCAAGGTGCCTAAAATAGTAGTTAAAAAGCTTATATACAGAAAGATGTCACTATCTGATCAAATGTGGCATTTCCTAGAGTTTATGGCACAGAACAGTAACCTCCACAGGCTCATCCTCCATGGCCTTCTTCCTTATGTGACAGTTTGACTCCCTTATTCTGGTTCTCACTTTCCCACAGTCCAGTGTATCAGTTTTGTTAGCCTTTCTGACAACTAACTTTTGGCTTTGTTGTTCTTCACTATATAATTTTTCTATTTCACTAATTTTTGCTTTGTATTATTTCTTTAATTTTTGAGGTTTATTTTGCTCTTTTTCTAATTAAAATGGGAGGGACAGCTCATTAATATTTAGACTTTGAAAAATTAGCATTTAAGGCAACAGGTTTCTCTTTATGCATCATTTTTGCTAGTTCTCACAATTTTGATAGGCAGAATAGTCACTGTTCTGAATTTTATAATTTTCATTATTATTTTCTCTTTGACCCATCAATTACTTAATTTAATCTCTTATATTTTTTATTTTTAAAAGTTCTCATTTGGTTCTTTTTCAGATCTGTCTGGTCAATTACAGTTTTCTATTTTTTTTTCATTCAACACATTTTTAATCTTTTGTTTTAAATCTATAAGACATTTATTTATTTTTAAACATTTATTTTATATTTGTATTTGATTGTTCAGTATCTGTTGACTTTGCCCATCTGATTCTGCAGTTTGTTATTTCTGCTGATCTTAGCTCATGGTGTCTTCATCATGTGTTCAGCAAATTTTTATTTTGTATGTATATTTAGTAAACTGTATCTAAAGGAATTTTTGAAATTCCTGTGTTTGCTTCTGCCAGGCACTGGGAGCAAGACCACTCCAGGGCAACGTTAAATTAAAATTAGAGCTTGAGGCTTTTCAGGCCACAGTCAGTGCAAATACCAAAGGTGGTGAGTATGCCTTTGTCATTAGGAATTCTCAGGACAATATATACCTTTTTCTCCACACTTAACCCCCTTCTTTCCAGAGCCATTCATTCCAATTTAGGCATATTTCCTTCCACTTCCTGGATTTTTTTCTAGTTCCTTCCGGGGGGGGGGGGGGGATAGGGGGCGGGGGGTTCCCAGCATTATGTGAGAGTTTCTGACCTGATCCCTCATTTCACATGCTTTACCTTTTGTCCCTGTACAAGTAGGTCATTAAAACTAGGCACTAGGTCACCAGGAATTCATAGAATCTCTCAGCACATGCTGGTTCTAACCCTTGTTAAACCCTGTGAAATATCCTATTTTCTCTTTTCTAGCCTCCAATGGTCTTCTTTATTTTACCACCAATTCAGCCGTACTCTCTATAAAAGATGTTTTCATCTAGCATTTTAAAGTGTTGTTTACGGAGAGGTGTTCTCTGTACAACTAGTCGGCCATGTTGCTGGGAATGGACATTTTAATTCATTCTTTAGGGAAAATGCTCTCTATAAGCGAGTTTGAATCCATTTGCACAAAATATATCTGTAGTGCATGTTAAGTTATTTCCTGTAAGAATTATATAGGGCTATTTTTTAAGTTCTGAAATGGCAGGTTAATATTCTGAAAGAATTCTTCAGAGATGGGTATAGTTAGCAGTTGATTCTCTTGGGGACTGTTTAAATCTTACTTGGCATATGTTTTCTGTGAATGTACTTATAAGACTTTGAAATTCTCTGACATTTTTGTTCTTTGGGCTTTTAAAAAACTTTTTAATGTTAGTTGTGCCCTGTTTTTTTTCCCCAGGGTTTCAACCTGTTTTGGAGATGGCCTTTTAATCTACAAAAGTCCTTGTCAGCGGCGACTTTTTTTCTTAGCTGCTGGTCTGAAACTATAGTAAATATCAATAATTGTGTATTTTGTTTTAAATTTCTACTGGGTGAATTGTTTTGGCTGATCTTCACACAAAATCTGGACCAAA